TCAAATTTTTTTCTTTTAGGTTTTGGTAAGTATAGTATTTAATGAACTGTAACAAATCACAGAAATCCATTTTGCCCTATTTTGTTGTTTTTTTTTCAAAAATTACCCGAATGTAATTTTTTACATATCTCTCACGTCTTTAACTTTTACGATACCGAAGCAACACATAATTGCATATATAAATACGTACATGTGCTTCGAATGAGGTCTTAAAAGTTTTCTCGAAACCTAGAAACTTCTCTGAGAAAATGAAATCCTAATTCTGCATTTTGAGAAACGCTCAAACGTCATTTTGTCAAAACGTCTCTTTATTTATAATTTAAACTTTTTGAACGAACATTGCTAAATGCACTGCATAATATGACAAGAGCTATTTTGCTGTAATATTTTTTGAATTAGACAAATACATTTTTAAAATATCTCTCACACCGTCAATATTTACATTTCCGGCAATTAGTACACATTATTGTATTTGTGAGTAGAAGTGCTTCAAACGATTTCCAATGAAATTTCTCGGAAACGTAAAAGTTTTCTGTGAAAAAGAGCTTACAATTTTGCATTTATGGTACTGCTTAAACGATATTTTCACAAATACTGCTCCAAATTTTCCAAAGAAAACTTTCATTTAGAACAAGATTTTCTATAACATACTGAAAAGTCATGTTTCAATTCTACCCTTAGGTAACCAAAAAATAGAGAAAATGTGAAAATAGGTTTTTATGTGACGAGCGATGGCAGCTGGGAAGGGGATGGGACAAGACCGAAAAGCTAGCTCAGACCAAAGAAATGAGAAAAATAACTAGTTAATAAATTAAAATAATAATAGTTGTAAGCCATACAATACATATGAAAAAGTGATGTAAACTGAACTACGTACTCCGAAATGAAAAATAAACATGTAAAAAAAGCTTGCAGCGTGCACTGATGACATCATTCCAAACACATCTTCACTGGCGCGAAATAGAAACTATTTTCTGTTGAAGACGAGAACTGTCGGTGATTTTCTTCCAGAAATATAAAGAAATGAAGCAGGTGAAGACCAATTACAGGAGATACTTCTAACTCCTGAGAAAGTTATAACGCAAATTATTGAGAAAGTTGCGAAGGCATAGCTGATTCTCCAGAGGTTGGCATTCCTTCATAAAAGCTAGTGGCTGAGTAATATGAATAACAATAAAAAAGGTCAAACTGTATGATGGGTACGATAAATGTTACCTACCTACACCAGGTTTGCCAATTCCGGAAACATAACGAGTAACCTATGTATTAAGGGACATCACAGACGTTCCGCTTGTAATAGTTATTTCTGATGAGTCAAACTGTATGAACTTGTACAATGAATTTGTAAGTGCACTTAATATATTCCGGACAACTCTTAATCATATTATAAACGTACATTTTGAAACACAAATAATGTATACTACACCGAAAAGAACATTTGTTATTCTAAACAACTAACTATTCTAACAATCACAGTCGTAACGATGAGGTACATTGCGGTTTTCGCTACGATGGCAGCCTTCCAATATTTTATGAATAAAACATCCTTATTCCGCGACAGCAGCGCTCTCGGCGAGTATAGTTTATTTTTATTCCAACGTATTTAGGGTTAGCAATATATTGAACCAAAAGAGGAAAACACTAGTCGAGAAAATGAAAAGATTGCCTAGCGATTTCCACTGGAGGTAGAGGTTAATTAGGTAATTCAAAGACTCAATGGACTGATTCCGACGAAAGTGCAGTTAGCACTACCTTTCGTCGATTCCTTCAATTGTTCGTGTTTCCTTACTATTCAGTACTAGTATTTCATAGGCCTCAGCTGCTGCTTGTAGTGATGGTATACAATTTAAAAATTTTATTTTCCTATTTCAAAGCCCAAATATTATCTATTTTTCGGGCTTCACCCACATGAAAAAGACAGATCCTCAATGATATATTCTAACGCTAGCTTCTGTCGTGGCAAGCGTCATATCGAATGCTCGTCCGCTGCCTAATCGAGCTTTGAAACCTCACGAGGCAGGATCTTTTGGGGTATGAGAATGATTTATAACCAGACACAGAATCAGGGAAAACAGTGCATATATTCTCTCGAGAATATGATAACATATATTGGCACTGAACAAAAAATACAGATATCAAATAACACACTAATATACAACACGAAATCAAATTACTGTTCACACCCTTTGAAAAATTGATATCGTTTGCTCACTTTGATTCGAATGCTCCTTCCTAATGCACTACTTTTTTTTTTACAAAATGTCCGTTTACGGTAACTACAGCTCAGCCAGCATCGTTTAATAAAATATTAACTCCCTTGACTGATGAGTGCAACAAACTAAATCCCTTATTTCTACACAGAATCTTAGACTGTTAATAATCAGAACAAATTATTGAATGACGTATTCAAATAGAATTATTCACAATTAATTTCCTCGTCAAGATCACACAGAATGAGGAGCAAAATAGCACAGCTTTTATCGTAACATAATACTAGAATGAACTGAATTACCGGCGTACAGGTTCTCTTTCAATTGTTTTGCCGTGAACTAGTTGTTACGACAATCTACGTGAATACAATCACAGCCTTTCTACTGCTGCACTAACATTCGTGTCTCTGTCGGCTCTCAATCCTTTTAGAAGAAAAAATAGTTACCTTCGTTCACGCACAATACGCAGTCCCAAACCTGGCTGCTTCGGCGTCGCGTGACCTTGCCCCAGTTTTGGCTGTCGGCACTCCGCTCTCGCGTCCAAGCGCTCCTCGACGTTGCTACAACGCTGTCGCCCCGGGTCTTCCTTCCCTCGGAAACGGCTCCTTCGCTCTTCTTGCTTGGACCCCGGCTCCTTCCGTCCTCATCTTCTTCGGCTTCAATTGCCCGCCGGCGCGTGACGTTTAACCCTGACGCGTGTTACTAGCTGCGTACCTCAACATATTATACTCGTGTTGCCCAATTAAGTCTTATGACGCCTCGCGATATTCTAGCTCTTTTCGCCTCTCAACTACTATTATTTCCGCCCAAATCTGTAACTGAGCCACCACTATTGAATTCTGCTTCTTTCTATTGAATTCTACAGGCGAGCGCGTGCGTCCGTGTGTTAAACCACGTCACATAGGGCCCACTCTGGGAGTGGTGGTGTGGTTACAACGCGCGTTCTTCTTTGGTATTCGCGGATCATTGGATAAATCCAGCATGTTGTGCGGCCTGTACTGATACACTTCTTGCAACGGGAGGATGGTGCGCTGTTCCAGCAGGACAAGGCCTGTTCTCACACTGCCCGCGCTGCGCAACGCGCTCTCCGCGATGTTCGCCAACTGCCGTGGCCGGCACGCTCGTCGAATTTGTCCCCGATCGAGCAAGTGTGGGACATGATGGGCCAACGCGTGACCCGTGCTGCGACTGCCCCAACAACTCTGCTTGCTGTGCTTGAGGCGGTGCAGGAGACGTGTAACACTGTATCATAGGACACTATTCGAAGGGATTCTAGCCCGCTTCCCGTACCACAGGACACCAACTTTACGAAGGGATTCTAGCCCGCTTCAGGGCTTGCCGTGCTGTGGCGTTTCATGGTTCTCTCTGTTGCTGGACGTGCGTGTCTCACATTGCTCTGCCCTTGTATTAAATGTATGTATGTATGTATATGTATGTATGTATGTAATGTATAACTATACACACACACACCACACACTACTATATATATTATTATAATATATATATATTTATATCTATATAGTGTGTGTGTGTGTGTGTGTAGTTATAACTGAGTGTTTAGTAGGCAAAAATTATATTTCAATATTATGTCATTACATCAAATAATGCGACTAAGTATGTGCTTTTGTAGCATCTGTACTTTTTAATTGAAAGATTACGGCTATTGACCCATCCAAAATGTGAATATTATTTTCGTAAAAATATATTTCAAGTATTTAGAATATATTGTACTGTCAAAATTGGGTGAGGTCATCAACTGAGGTCACTGTAGTGTCTCATCGGGAGGTTATAAGGTTCGATTCCCGGCGGTAAACTGTGAAATTTTGGCCATACAGCTGAAAAAAAGTCCATTTCCAAAGTACCCAGAAGGGTTATCTGGGGGAAGATGTTAGATTGTAATAGATTCATTGTAAATAAAATGGGTATTGATTTTCTTATGAATCGCTTGAGGTAGCAGTAGAACAAATTTAAACATGCACGATCTTGCGTTGTCACATAATTTAAATAATAATAATAATAATAATAATAATAATTGTCTTTATTAATGACGAGGCATAGTTTAAGGAACATTTAATTAAAGAATACAATGGTATTTTTTCTAATGTTGAAGTTGTTGGGTTAAGGAATAAATTTTGAAAAATGAAATAAATCAAATATGCTTTATACAAACTTTAATGAATTCAATCATACATCGAATTAAGGAATATTTTGTTCTTCCTTGTCACAAAATCTTAAAATTTTTATCACAATTACAAACGGTTTACAAAAGATCTACTAAATGATGAAAGATTTTTTTCAAAAACATTGAAAATTAATAACTTGTGGAAAAAAGATCTTTAAAGAAAATGAAAAACGTTTGTTTCATATTGCTGTACACCCCCTCCGTAGAAAAAAGTTCTAAAATCTGGAACAAGGATAAAATTGTCTTTCAATTTGTGCAATTTGATGTGACATAACTCAAAAACCATTTATTTTGCAATCGTAGAGAGATACAATTTATTTACGTAATCATCATTCACTTTTCATGATCGCAAGTGAAAAGCATTCGCAAACCAATCACAAACCAGGACAGAGGAGTCATAAAATCGTAAGACTCCTCCCTCGCCTATGCGAGAAAATCAAGTATGACAGTCATCATCATCATCAATTTTCAGCACGTGCACACCTGTCGGCAAGAATTTATAATTTCGCCTCTGGAAGTGAGCCTTCATATTACAGGAAACCTACAGTGTGTAAGAGTCCAATCAGCATTATCGCCGGATTTCCCGTGCGCGTTGTCGAGAGCGTAAGCTGCGCCGGCGCCACCCCCTCCGCGGCGCCTTCCGGCACCCGCCACCCGCCACCGCGCGGCCGCCAGGAGCAGTCCTCTCAGGCGCCGCACGGAGCGCGCTCCCCGCGGCATTCACGATGACGTTCGTCAGGTCAGTAACACGTCAGAGTATTTTCAGTTAGGGCAGGAGTTAAGTGCTTAGATACATCACTGCCTCAGACAACCTAGTTCGGGGACCAAATTATACGTCTTAGAATCAAGGGATCAACCAAATTCTTAAATAAAGCACATTTAGTTAATTAAAATAAGATACTACTTCAATTTATCAACAAATATATGTATACGAATGCTTTTATATGCATGTAATTATTATAATTTTGCATAAATGTCTTCAGAAATTTTATTACATTTTACATGGTTAGCCGGTATTTCTCGGGATTTTTCAGTTAATCTTCTATGAAGTCCTCGTCTCTCTGTCTACCCACCCTCCCATCGAACCTGACTCCTCCGTCTCGCTCATCCACCGTACCTCCGGCCTTGGGTCGTCCCGCAACTCGCGGTCAAGAAACATTATGAGTTGCGTCATTTCTAGCAACACTTTATTAGAGTAACCAACTTATTGGGATCGCAACCCCCCTCTGCCTTCTCTCAGCTTCTCAAAATTGTTCAAGAAAAATTCGAAAGCAATCAGTCCATTGGTTCAAAAGCGTTTGTGGATGAAAGGACACAGTCTGCTACAGATTGAATGACGTCACGATTTAATGCGAAGATACGTCTTGTACTTTAACTACCAAACTGTTATTATTGATATAAATATTACTTAAACTGAACCACTCAGAATTTTCTAGATATTTGTACGTTATTTTTAACACTTATTTCATTCATTCTGGAAAATTTGTCACACAAATGAATGGGGAAACACCATGACGGTATAAGTGATATTTTATAAATTCTAAGAAAAACGTGTTTAGTTATGTCTTTAAATACGTGAAAAACCGTTAACAACTCTGCGTAACTTTCTATGTGGAGAAGTTAGTTTCAAGTTACATTTATGTCCGGAGTCAAAACAAGGGGCCATCTCAGCATTTGCTCGAGGATCAGGGAAACTGGACAAAAGCCTGATTGAGATGGGAGTCATTGATCCAGAAGCTGACGTACAATACTTGTTACAAGTTCTTTAGAATTCTACAATCCAAATGCTAAATAATACACTAAATGTCATTGTTAAAATTAATGTTATTTTCCTTTTTGATGCTCGCTAATTGTATAGAAACAGTTGTGCAACAAAAAAGACTTTACTTGGGACTTAAAGTCTTGCATCGAATTTAATCTTTTAATGTCATCTGGCAAGGTGTTGTAAAATAATGTATATGTATTACATGTAAATGTTTTGTAGTGAGCTGTTGATATGGTCACCAGATGAATATGATTATTACGTCCAGTGTTGTAGTTATAGGCAAGTGCATTTGCTGATGGGATGGGTGGGATTTGCTTATTATTCGTACAATTCCTTTTTGAAATTTAAAAGTTTGGGAGCTATAAGATGTATTATCCAGAATATTATGCCATATCTCAGGCAGGAATGAATATACACAACGAGCAGTATGGAGGCTGACTGAATCTGAAAGAGTTCTGAAAGCGTAAAGAACTTAATTTAGTGTTGAATTCATTTAAATGGACGTTCCATTTAAGGTTTGACTGAATTGAAAGACCTAAAACTTTTGTTACCTGAACATCAGTCAATTGCACATCGTTAATTTTCAATAAAGTACAGCGCTGTTTATTTGAAATGGAAAACTGCATCGATATCATTTTCTTTTCATTTACTATTAATTTGTTATTATGGAACCAAATTGAAATATCTGATATTGCACTACGGTTTCTTTATTGCAACGAATATTCGTATCACCCACAAAGAGAACTGTTCTTCCGTTTCTAATCGTCGAGGGCGTATCTTTTACATATAGTAGGAAGAGAATAGGGCTTAAAATTGATCCCTGCAGGACTCCACATGCAATTGGCAAAGAATCAGAAAGGTGTAAACATAATGTTCCATTATTCCAGTAAGGTATTTCTACTCTCTGAAATCGTTGTTTAAGGTACAGACATAACCAATCTAGAGCAATACCACAAATTTCATTCGAAGGTAATTTTGAAAGTAAAATGTTATGATCAATGACGTTAAAAGTTTTTGAAAGTACTAAAAATATACCAATAGGTGCTTCGTTTTGATTCATAGATGACGCGGCTTTCCAAAAATTTTTGGTTTTTGAAACCCTTGTTGCCAATCTGAAAACGCGTCGTGTTTACTAAGAAATGTTTCCATTCGTACGTAAAATAACCTCTCTAATATTTTTGGAAAAAAAATAAAAACGATAAAAGAGAAATTGGCCACTAATTTTGAATTTCATTTTTGTTGCATTTTTTTTGAAAAGCGGATTAATTTTAGCTTTTAAAAATATCTGGAAAAATTCCTGTGTATAAGGATACATTAAATATACTCGTATGAGTTAACGGGTGTATAATGGCGGGCGCACGAGTTTTTAACAAATAATCCGGAAATTTATCTAAACCGGGCGAATATTTCTTTTTTAGTCTACCGATTATTTTGAGAGTCTCATAGGAAGAAGTTTCGGAAACAAACATTGTGTCCAAAATTTTTGGTGGAAACGTCTAATGCAGAATTTTGTGGCTGAAGACCCTTGGTAAGATCGGCAGCAATTCTCGAAAAGTATTGATTAAAGAGACTAGCCACTGTTGTCGGATCGTTCACATTTCTATATTTATCTTTTAAAATAACATTCTCTACAAGGTTTCCAGTTGATTTGGACGATTTTTTATTGTATTCTACATTTCTTTTGTTTTATTATTTGAGTTCAAAATATCCTGGTCATGTTTCATGATTTTAGCCTGCCGTATGATGTTTCTTAACAATGATTGGTAATTTTTAAAGTAGAGGAGGAAACTTTGAGATACGTCGTGGTGCTTAGAAATGAAAGAAAAAAATTGTTTTTAGATAATGTCCTAATCCCTTGTGTTATTCAAGAATTGCTTTTCCATGAAATATTTAATTTTATTTTTTTGAAGAGGAAAGCAAGTGTTGAAATAAAATGAAAGCTTTAAAAACAGAATTATATTTATCAATATGTATAAATAGTATTGTAAAGTGTGTCCCATGACTCTTGCAGCAAGTAATTGATGAATAATTTATTTTCTTTTAGTAAAGAATTTACTCATACCTGTCTTATTTATTGTGGCAGTATTCGTATTTTTATAATTGTAAGAATGTGTGCATCGTAATCACTGTATCCTAAATACGTTGTTTTAATTTCAATTCGAGTAATGGTTTTGTTAATTATTGTTTAATCGATAGCCTTCTTTTAATTTAGTGTGATCAGTATAGGTACATATATAGTAATATCTAAACTGAAGGAATGAATTAAGTAGAGAAACTGCTCTTTCTCGCAAGATTCGACCATAAAATCAATGTTAAAATCTTCGCATACAACAATGGATTCAAAAGAGCGATTGCTGACTTTGTTTAGTTATCTCCAGTTTTTTAAGAACATAATATAATAATCTACTGCTCTCTATTGGAGGCCTGTGGATACAAAGTAATATAATGCACCGTTATCAAAACTATATGCAATTCGTTTGGCATATATGCTCGGCAAATATTTTCTTATCAATACTTGGCAAAAAATGCTTATTTCCGTCTATAATCATATTTCAACTTGTTTAACATCATACATTTTTAATAAATAACTACGAATAATACATATAAACTAATTAATTACTAATGTTCTACTATTTTTAATATTACGTTTATTAATTACCACCTTATTATATATTGACACCGCCCCAAACAAAGCTTAGGAAAATAACACTTTAAAGGTTATAATAATGTGGTTGAGTGTGTTTATTTCAATCAGTCGGCCAGACGAACGGACGGTTTGAAAACACTTTTTCGGTATCAGAGGAAATCTCCAAAACAATTTTCCGCCGCATTACATAACTTACTCTATACTTCGTATATTGCTCTATATATACGTACCTATACGAGAAAGTAAAGATGCAGCCTCCTTAGAAACACAGAGACAAAAGGGTTCTCGACAGTGTTGCCAGATGTGTTTAGAGGGATTCCGCCATGTTCGTTTCAGTTTCCGCCGAAAATCCGCTGAACTGGTTTTAAATTTCCCGCCTAAATCCGCTAAACGTAAAATAAATTATTTTTTCCTATTTAAATATTGTATTAATTTATTCTATTGAAACAACCGATAGAAAAGGACAAATGCTTATGAATGCATGAAATAGATAAGGACAATTGCTTATTCTTGGTCATAGCCGTCGTTATTGGCGTATTCGAACACCAATATTTTAAAATAATAATTAAGGACGCACTTATGTAGACTGAATTGTCAGTCATTTACTATTATTTTAAAATTTTTCTGCTCGAACACGCTATGTGTCCAGGCCTTAATAGTGAAGATTTGAAATTCCGCTTATTTTCCACCGTCTTCATTAATTTCCGCCGTTCATTCCACTGTCCGCAAAACTAATTATTTTTCCGCCGTACGAGCTCAAAATCCGCTGAAAACGGCGTGAATTCCGCCGGTATGGCAACACTGGTACTCGATCAATACATTCTATACATTCGAATATTTATTTGCAAAACCAGACTTAAGAAAGTTTGATGGCAATGTACCAGAATTTTACATAACATTTTACACGAGAGCGACATTTCCAACAGAGACTGGTGCCTAAAATATAAGTCCAATAAATAAGCAAATTGGAAATTTATCACGACTTATGAAGTCCTGACGATCATGCCTACCGGGATGAGATGGCCGAAGAGAACATAATGAAGATTCCTTCTAAAATGTCGAAGATGTTTTACTTATATAATTAAATGAATAATAATATTGATGGGATTGGATTGTCATCATTCCAGGGTAATAAAATAACCATGTTAATGAACTCTGTAATTTATATTAATCATTTATGCATGAAATCGCAAATCACACAAATTTTATTAATTATTTTCTTTAAAACGAAACGCAAAGTAAAATACTTTTGTATTGTAGTATAGGATTGTGGTATTATAGTTGTAGGATTGTGTATAGGATATATTTTCTACTTTCTTGGAAAAATATTTAATAGGTTTGTTCATAAATGCTAATAACAAATAGTTTTTACTTTCTTGCTAGCGCTTACGCATTAGACAGAAAGTTACGTAATGGTGCGCGGAAAAGGGGCGAATTTTCGAAAAAAAATCTCTTTATTACCGGGGCCTGGTAACGAAAATGTGGATAAATTCAGTTGCTAAATTTAGGAAAAAAGTCCTCTAACACTTGGTGTAGCCAGAATCCATGTTTGGTGGGCCCATGATACCGAAAAATCGAATGATGACAAAACGCGTCTGTCCGTCCGTCTGTGAACAACGCTACACTGCGCAAAATTGATGTACCCCAATTGAACTGACTGATATCGCGACCCCTTGTAATTGAAACCGATAAATTTTACATGAAGACCAAACATTTTCAAAAAAATTGCTCCATATTTTATTTACCTCCAAATTTTGATCAAATTTTGTTATTGGGCGTCCTACAACTTTATTAAAGATAGATGTAAATGAATACAGAGTTTAAAATTGTCAAATACAATTTTTAGAAAATGTGAATACTTTCCACGTTATTTTGTGTAAAATGCAGGCAATTTTTAATTTTGTTTAAACAATTTTTTCTTAAAAACAGCCCCATATTTTTTATTAAATGTTGACCTCGGAAAGCGTTTAGGGCGCGTAAGTCTCATTTTCGTTAAATATTCTTATTTTTGAAAATTGCAAAAATTCAATTTTTTTCGGCGCGTTCCTGCAACAATAATTATGAAGATAAACATTTTTCTTAATGAAATGTGTTCATCAAAAACAAATCTTGAAATACGTCCCTGTTTAATTTTTCGAAAATATGAGTATTTTGTATATTATTTGACGTCAAACACAGTAGCCGGCTTCGAATTTCCTGTACATCTTGAACGTTATTTAAGAAATGCTTGGAGACAGTTGAATGCTACGTAAGTTAGAATTTGTATATTATATCACATGTCTTTGCACGTTCCTTATATTCGAGTATTGTTATACGTTTACGAATTAATATTTTACAAATTATTTAGAACGTATTTGTTAATTCATATTTTTTGTCCGTGTTGCGAGGAATATATTTGTATTCTCAATGTATTTATGTATTTTCTTTCAAGCAATCCGCAATCCTTAATTGAAATTATCCCAATTACGTTTTCTCTCTTAAAAATACAATTTAAATGAAATTTAAATAAAAATTGCTAGCCTTCAGGAAATATCAGATTGGAATGCGACAATGGCAGTCCGCCCCACAAGATGGCTGCTGTGGTTCTGTGAATTACTTCTCATTGTTGGGACATGATTTAGCTCTATGAAACGCAGTAATAATTTTGAATTTGTATTGATTTAGTTATCGCATCTAATAATCTACCATTTATAATGAGATTTTCAAAAACTGATGTTTATGATTCGGAGAGAAATTGCTGTAGAAATAGTATTACCTAACCATTGAGATGGGCGAGAAAGTATGTGCTTTTTTAGCTCCACTAGTTTGTTTCTCCTGTAAAGTTGGGTGTTGATGATGCATGCCCTTTTCATTCTAGAGGATCCAGTTACAGAAATACAATTGTTGCGCCAGAGCACGGTACATTACGGGATAAAGAACATGCAAACGTTTTCTCGGACGAACATAGCATTTTCTGGGTATTTATGAACCTTTTGCATAAAAATTTTATGTATTCTTGTTCATCATAATTTGGTTCATATGATCCGGGTAAGAAGGTACGGCCTGTGTACATGATCTTGTATTATTATTACTTACGTAATATGGCATGTAATTGTGTAGGAAGTAGTATGAGATGAAAGGGTCGGTAATGAAAACAAGAAAACCTGATCTTTAATTTCGGCCAATTAGCCGATTCACCGTCAATAATTCACAAATTAACAGTCCTAAAATTGTTATCAACGTTGGGTCATCTATCACATTTCAGTGATATACTAAAAAAATAAATACAATGTATTTTAATAGTGTAATTTAATTAACGTCCCAAGCGATAAGATTATTATTACGAACCCAATTCCTTAATCGTCACGGATAATTATGAATTATTTCATCACTTAATTGTGGGTTTCGTAGAAACCCAATATTATCTTCAAAACAGAAGTCACTACGAGGAGGTGTCTTCACCATTGGAATTATTTGAATTGTATGAAGTAGTGCATCTCATAGATAAATGGTTTAAATATATCTGTTATTGTTTCAGTGAGAAAATGGTGAAAGACATGAATGTTCGTGGACAACTACTGCTCCTCATGACAACGTATATTGCATTAGACAATACAGTTGGTGTTAGTGGCATCTGCTCTGCAAATAATGTGTATGGAAGGCAAACATGTCCAGGTAAGTTCTCAGTATATATTCCTTACACTACTTTTTCTCTTCTTGACATGTCTTGAAAAATCATTTGTTTCTAACAATAAGAAGAATACAATATATGGTTCGAAACTCTCGTAAAGCATCAGTGTTTTCAATTCTAATTGTGGGGTAGGGGCTTTCTCAATCCCGGCAATCTTAATACCATACTCCTTCCATAATCTCATTACTTGATTGGCAACTACGTGTGGGATTTCTGAGCAAGCTACCTTTGTGTATACTTGCGAAATTGAAATTCTTGTACCCACAACAATAGCAAAAATCGAAAATTGCTACGGGCTAAGCGAATATAGCTCAGGACCGAAAGGAGCAGGGCTAAGAAGGCAACGGCTGTTGCTTAGGAGCTCATGGAACCCATTCGCTGATACTTCCAGGATACTTCGGAAATAGGCTTACCCGGTTTTGGTATGACAATACTTTCACTGTACTTCCATTGACAGGAAAATGTCCAATTCTGATGATGGCGTTGAAAATTGAGGTTACCAATGCTAGTGCTTTTTTTGGCAGATTTCTCCGAACAACGCCGGTGATGAGATCGTAGCCAAATGCATTATGAGGGTTAACGTGATTTATTGCATTTAAAACTGCCGTTCTCTTGGAATGTTTTATTGATAGAGACATTTGATATGGTGAATTAATGAATTGAATAATATTTATTTCTTATAATTCTTCATCAGATGGGAATGGTTGGAAACATTCACAATATGTTCCGCAAATACTGTTCCTTTTTCGACGTTGGTTCTAGCCCATGTTTATCACGTAAGGCGGCACAAGTTTGATTGGTCGCTTAATGCGTTTGGTGGCTTTCCATAGAGAGAAGTCAGTGTCTTTGGTTGGTGACAGTCTTTCGATATACTCCTTGGTTTCATTCGCATGTAGATCTTGTAGAAATCTTTTAAGACCTTGCGCTGCCCAGTTGAAGTTTCGTTTATCATTTGGATCATGTGTGGTTTGCCAAACTTTCGTAAGTCTCCTCTTTTTTTTGTTTCATTTCATCAACTATTTTGGGGTATTTGCGAGCAGTTTCCGTCCGTACGTTTCTGTGGTAGCATACCATGATTCTTGCTGAATATTGATAGTTAAAATTCAATTGATTCATCTATATCGAATTCACTTTTTAGGGGAAGGTTTGCAGTAATACTTACATTATGCCATGATTGAAAGTCACTCCAATTTGTTTTTTATTAGAAATTCTAGGTTTAAAATTGTTCTCTGTTATACGAGAGAATAATTAATGACCGGAGTGGGATCGGCAGACAATTTGAGGGAATTTTCAATTAATGTAAAGCTCTGATTTGTTTCTTTCGTGATAAAGAAATATTTTTTGATGATAAAGTCAATTTTTTCGTCTTGCAGAAAATTGTTAATATCTCTGCAATGTTGCGCTAGTCCATTGGCATTCCACACACCAATAGGAAAGGTATTTATAATTTGCTTATTACTTTGCTCATGAGGCTTATCAGGATGGAAATTTGTTCACTTTGCTTGGATAGTATTGATTAAAATTTTTGACAAGTTTCTTAACAGTTGATATTAGTTGTGAAATTTTAGTATTGCTATTGTAATTTATGATTTGATGTGGTACAGGTTTCTTGGCAACGTAAGCCCAAGTGCGGTGTTGCATTTCGCTAGAAATGACTACGAGACTAAAAAGTTTGTTGCATCGGAGGTTTGAGTGTGAAAGATACGAATTTCGTGCTTTCTGCGGATATTTACTTCGCCTTAGACGAGCACGTAAACGTCGCATCCCTTGTAGTTTGCTGGGTGGTTTTGCTCACATACAGCGCATTTAGGTGAGTCCTTTTTTTCTTTTTACAGACTTCGGTCGGATGATTTACTCCACGTTTCACACAGCGGTGTTTTCAATGGCAGTATGTCCTTGTATGTCCATATTCTGGACAACTTTTGCATTGAACGATTTCTTTCTTCTTTTGGGGTGCTTCTATTTTGATTTTTCAGTTCAGTTCAGCTCTGTTCTAAATATCTTTATTATTGTTGCTAGGTTGTAGGTCTATGAAGAAGAAAGAGAGAGGTCCTTTTGTTAGTCTGTAGCTTTCAATTTTCTCTTGCTGGCCGTAGATTTCAATTTTCTCTTTTTCTTTCTCAATTTGTTTAAGCACAACTCTAAAAAACGTTCGTCTTTGAGCTGATACGTATGAAATTGTAATTTTGTATTTTCAAAATGTTTTATGAGCCCTCTATATGCTTCAACTGTACTTAATATTACTTTGAAACTGTCTCTGTTCAGTAATTTGTAGCTTTATTCCATTTTTTTATAATTCTTCAGTGCCGTTTTTAAGATACTGATGGTCTTATTCTTGGTAAGAAGATGGGTAGAATTTTATAACCATTGGTTCGTTCGTTGGATTCAGATTTTTCTGTTGTGTTATTCACTGGTGCTGTAGAAGAGAGAAGTTCGAATTTGTTGTAATTTGTAATACTTTCTGTAACTGGCATTATCTTTAGAGCTCTTTGTGAAGGTTCACTATGTTTTCGTTTCCGCAGTCTAAGGACGACTTCTTGCCACTCCGGAGTGTTATTGCACGTACCTTTAACAGATGACATTATTGATACGTCTGTTGTACTACTGGTTTGTTGTGCCAAACTATCGGACTTCAGCTTGTTTCTAACGGAATCTGTGGTTGCTGCTTCAGAAATTGCTGTAGTTGATCTAGTTGCTGTTCTGACTGTAGCTGTTATTGTTAGATTTTAGAGGTGATTTTGAGGGGCGCATTTTTATCTTATATTTAAAAAAACTATGTTATAAATTTATCTGCCTGAGGCCATCCGAAAATGTATTTATTTTCCCATCTATCAAATAAGAAGTGACTGGAGTATTTATGTGACACTGTTATTACGTTTTCGAATTCTACATCTGTAGTTTGAAGAAAGTATTATGGTCCTGCAGCGTAAAACAATGATATTTCCAAGAAAAAACTCGCAGTGTGCGTTCCTGATGCAAAACATTGATAATTTTTGCTCCTAAATGTACTAAAAAACTTCTAATACACTTCTCAGTTTCCACGTTTGTGGATCCTTGAATCTATTATTTTTTCATATTTCCTTACTATTATTTTTCATAAGACCTGTCGTGGGATAGTGGTTCTACATCGATTATTGTTATGATGACAAAAACGAAATCGTGCCCATAGAAACTCATGTAATTTCTTCGTACGCTGTTCATATTACAAGTACAAAACAAACAATGAGAAAAAACAAATTAACACTCGAGGTGGTCTCGTGGCCCAGAGTGAAGTCTCTGGCCTTTCACCAAGAAGGTCTGGGCTCGTTTGGCGATTTTCCAATCTCGTATTGTAATCAAATTCTTAATGACGCTTATATCGTAAATAACTATTAATTATTTTAGTGATAGTACAGTGCCAGTTTTATTTCCAGCATGATGAAACCAAGCTTTCTCGAGGCAGACTTACAATTAGTGGATCTACTTTACACAGACTTTCTCGTATTAGATTTTTATTTCCTTTGGTCTGGGCTACATATTCTTCTTGACTTGCCCCATCCTCTTGCCAGCTGCCATCAATCGCTGCCAAAAGAACACGTTTTGAAATGTTCTCAAATTTTAGGTTTTCTAAAAGTAGAAGCGAATTATTACATTAAGAATATTAAAGAAGAGTAAAACCGCGTTCCAAATGGCAATTTTCATTGAAACATTTGGAGAGAAAATCTGTTTAACCTTTATTGTGAATGCTAAATTTGAACCTCTCTTCACAGCTACCGCAATTTTGAGACAAACTAGATTTATTCAGAATGTATAGCAGTGATCAAATAACGCATGACTGGCTTTTGTTGATTTAGTCTGAAAATCTTTAATTCTTCTGGCATAAATGTAACATCATTGTCTGTTCAACAAGTTTGCACTTATAATTTAAGATTTCTATCAATTGATCCAGTAAATTATATAGAACATCGAATGTTCTATCTGCACTAACGTTGCGGAAATAAAAACCTGTCTTAAACATAACCACACGGATCTTCACATCTCAAAATTATAGAGCACTCACTATGTAATGAGAGAGACGACAGGAGTTTCACCAAATTTCTCGGAGCTGTGCTCAGAAACCTACTCCGGGGCCGTGAAATTGTACAAGACTGGGTGGAGGACCAACCAAGCTTGTACTATTCCATGCTATGTGTTTTCGCCACAAATCCATACATACGAATATTTGAACTATGAAACACAATACCATCGTTCGCGCAAGTTCTTATTTCCGGTTCTTCGCTGTGTCCGCTGGACGCGTTGCGTCGGGAGCACAGTCCGAGAGAATTACACCGTGGCCACGGTGGTCAGAAGTCAAGCTTTTGAACAGGGCAAACGATAAGGAATATGATCGGTTTCTTACTCAGTTAACCATTATGTACCCAAAGTTTTTTACTACTTCGGATACCCAAGAGGGGCCAGCTGTGCCCCACTACTTTTAGTAACTACTTTCAACTAACAATATAGGTGTTGTGGTGCGTTACCGTTGGCATTTTTCATGAAATAATTATAAACGTTGTCATAGTCAACAATAGTATTTTATATAAGAGCAGCTTTCGATGGCTTAGCCATCATCATCAGTTCCAGCAGACAACTGATGATGATGGCTAAGCCATCGAAAGCTGCTCTTATATTAAATACTATTGTTGGCAATGACAACGTTTATAATTATTTCATTTTTCAACTAACAACTAGAAAATTAATAATTCGTAAAATAAAATTCGTAAAGTATATATATATATATATATATATATATATATATATGTATATATATATATATGTATGTATATATATATGTATATATATATACTGCATATTTTATAACCAGATATCTGTATTATACGATTCGAGGCCGTTAGAAACCACTTTGTGTGCAAATTTGGTTGATCTGAATTGATTGTAGTATTATATAATGTATATAAAATATGAAAGAAGAAACAATAATTATATTTATTAATTATTATTAATTTAACTGCGTCACAACTTACAGCTCGTGGCTCAGAGCGAAAGACGCTTGCCTTTCTTTCACCAACGATGTCTGGGTTCGATTCCCGGACAATCTCATGAAAAATTTGTGAGCGACAAAACAAATTTTGACTGCTAGTTCAACCTCTGTGAAGTGTTCTAAACCCTACCGTTTCCCTAATTCCTTCCCAATTGAAAAAAACCAAAGGTGACATTCAACTGCTTTGAATATCCTCTTTGGGCGATCACCAAGAATTGCACGCGACCTATGTGTTACTACTACTGCTATCACAACTTAAAGTAATTGTTCAAATTAGAAGAACTATTTGATTCTAATTTATTCACTAATTATTTGTTACAATTTAATAGTTGTACTTTACTGCTCTTTTTTTCTTTTCAAAACGTAAGCGATTGAAAATCAGTAGTTTTCTTGAGCTAAAATAAATCCGAGAGATTAAGAAACAATGAATAGGATACTCTGCTGGAGTGGTCAATGGTCAAAGAACTAGTTGTACTAAAAATACTGTAGTGGGTATTCGAGGGTTAAAGAAAGCGCATAAGTGGGGATTGTTTAAATTGGACACGTCTGCCCAGATCCGCAATCGGCGTTGGGCGCCATCGCCGAGCTGGACGAAGGCGGGGAGCTGAAGATCCAAGTGGCTCTGTCGTGGGGGGCCAGGCCGTACGGGACGGCGTGGCGGCTGCGCATCCAGAGGACCGTGGAGGACAACGCGGACGCGCTGCTGCTGCTCGCTGTGCCGTGCGCGGACCTCGCCGGAACCACCACCTTCGCCTCCGCCTCGGCCCCCGAATCGAGCGTCCTGTGCGCTTTCACTGCGCTCCTCGCCGTGCGGCCGGGCCAGAACCTATGGGTGCGTATGCCATCAGCCTGACACAAACCGCACTTAACAACTAGGGCTGCCACCTTCTGAAAGCACATTACCCGGAGATTTTGATCGGTGGGGGGGGGGGGCCAAAAAAACTAAGCTGTAATGAATGTGATTCTAGACCAGTGTGTGCAAACTGGTGGTGAATTGACGTCAGGGCTCGGAGAAGCAGTGCGAGCTAAGGGGGAGGGACGGAGGGAGGGATCGACAGCCTTCGCAGTGGGCCATTGCTTGTGTTTCGGGCAACAATAAGAGCTCATGTATGACCGTTCATTTTCTTTCGATTTGGGAAGAAATGTTTCTTTTTGAGAAACCCTAACAATGACGAAGTGTTTAGTGTGTTTGAAAGGACTGCAGCATATAAAATTTCAACATAGAGGCATTACGCAGCTTTATAACCTAGAGAAACCCGCGATTTAAAAATAATTTCTGAGAACTTACAGATAGCCTGCAATCATGAGATAGGGTATTGCAGATAGAAGATTCTGGAAACGGTTCGGATTATGAAAATCACGAGGATTTACAACATTCTCAAACAAAACTGTACATGAAATAATTAAGACTGGAGTCCAAATTCTCCTACGCGACCCCTCCCGGGTATTTCTTTGTATCTATTTCTTAACATTAATTATTAGTTTGGGACGAACTAAAATTGTTATATTATATGACGTTGTATACAATGTCATTGTGCTGGAACGTTAAAACTCTTTTCCAAAAGTGTTATCTATTAGAAGAATGGAAATGGGGTTGGAATACTGTATACCCGCCACCACGTCGGGCACTTCCATTGCTCCGCGACTCAATTCGGAGCAGGAGAGCAGTTTTTTTTTTTTATCACGGAGCATTGAGTTGACATGCATTGTTCTAGAACGTAGAATCAAGATACCAATATATAAATTTTTATTTTTATGGGTTATACACATGGCGCACAATGTAAATATTATACTGATCATACAGGGAATCCTACAGAGTTAAGGCTCATGAGACTCATGCGCTCGAATTGCATTATATCGCATCACAGCGGCTTTCGAAATGCATAGATTTTTCGCGCAGTTTATTGTTGAATTTCAAACTTTGTACATTGATAATTATTATTTGTTGTAATAATACTATTCGTGAAGGAGAAATAGTTTTAATGTGAATTACGAGTTCATTGTTCCAACACTAAATGGGTGTGGATTGCTTTTATGAGTCAAAGACAAACACAGTAATCATGCGCATCACATCACATACTTCTGCCAAACAATTCCGTATATTTTTCACGAGGAATTTAAATTCTCGTATTACCTTGAGATTTTCTACATTAACCCGGAGCTCGGAGATTTCTTCTGAAACCCGGAGACTCTTGTGAATCCTGGCGAGGTGGCTGTACTATAAACAACTAATGCACGTACTTCCATATATTCTGTAATATACATGTTTTTCATTCATTTGACAACTACTGATGCTATACTATAACACAGATGTTCTCGTACTAGTTATTTTTCTGATGTCTTCAGTCTTGGCCCAACCCCCTTCCCAGCTACCTATAGTCTCTAGCAGTTTATCAACTCACTCGAAATTATCGTAGTTTTACTTTCTCTCTACTGCTTACGCTGTATAGAGAAAGTTATGTAATGCTGCGAAGGAAAACAGCGAATTTTCGGCACAAAACTAATTGTCAGGCTCTGTTAACTAAAAATTGGATATCTCTTGCTTCTATATATAGTATATCACTATCTCTAACACGTTGTGTAGTCAGAATCCATGTTCTGTGGGTCCTTGATGCCTAAAAATCTATTGAGGGCAAAACGACTTTCTGTCTGTGATAAACGCTAGCGTCTAAACCGTTTAGCTGATTTTCTTCGAACGTATTCCCTAAATGATCGGACGGATGTCGGGTCCCCTTAAATTTGAAACCGATATTTTTATTTTGGTGGGGTACAACGTGGGCTCCAACATTTATAAATATGGCTCCAACGTTTTTGATTAAATTTTGTTGTTGGATAGTGTGAAGGAGGTTTAAGATAATGGTGCAGGACTAATTTTCTTTGAAATACCTGATTTTTGAAAATTGCAAAAGTTAAATTTCTTTCGGCGTCTTCTTGCAACTAGAATATTGAAGATGGATATCTTTTTCTTAATGAAATTTGTTCTTTAAATTCAGATTTTGAAATAAGCCTATGTACAACATTTTGAGAATCTGGGTTGTTTTGCGTAATTTTGCGTGAAATATAGGCATAAACATTTTTTTTCAAAACCTGGACCATTTTTTTTATTACATTTTGATCTCGGATGGCATACAGGATGCTTATGAAAATGGCACAGACCTCATGTTCGTTAAAATTTATGATTTTTCGAAAATTGCAAACATTTTTTCGTCTACTTTTTCCAACTACCATTATGAAGATATAATTTGCTTTCTTAATGAAATATGTTCATCAAAAACAGAACTTCATATAAGGTCACGTTTAATTTACAGAAAATATGAGCGTTTTTTGCATAATTTGGTGTCAAAAAGACAATTGTTAAATTTTACTCGTAAACAATTATTTTCTCTGAAGCAGCTTCTAATTTTTCTTTACATTTTTTTTCGTATGTAGTAAAGAAGGTCTCATGTACGACTCACACTGAATTTTCAAAAAGTTGAAAAATATTCGAAATAATAAATTCAAATTTCCGGCGCTTTATTTGTGATGTCAATATATAAGTCCGCTGCGTCATATAGTGTCAATATATAATAACCTTAATTGATATTAGTGATTTTAGTAGATTTTCTCTCTTAAAAATACGATTTATATACAATATGAAAGAACAATTGAAAAAAATTAGTACGGAAGTAATTGAGAATGATCTTACAATTGGATTAGAAAAGGACACCACGAGTCGAGTACAAGTGATGTTTTATCATCGTTTTTGTGTGCATATTAGCAAAAAAGCGTAAAAAATATATAGCTGTATTAAATTCAAACTATTCGCATCATCCATGCCTGCAATTATTTTTACAGAGACTACAAATTTAATAAATTTGAAAGTGCAATATTACCAGATCATTTCCCGTATGGAGGTAACAAGCAAGGTCATTGGGTGTTGGGAATATTTGAACGAAATTCTTACATTATCAGCTACGGTTCATTGGTATGTCTAATGACAGATACTGTAAGAACGTATTTGATGCTATGTATGTCTTAAACTGTTCATGATATTTGTAAATTTTCAACTCATGAAAATAGTTTTAAAACAGTTTACAGTGTCGGCACCGCTTCATTCAACTAGTTACTTATTAATACATTACTTACATACAATGCTCGCAATGTTTTATAAAGGTATTTTTGCCGTCCATGAGGATACCAAGTCAGCATGTACAAAACAAACAAGTGGTGCTACAACAGAAATTTCACGCAAACTTTCGAGAGGTCAACAAAAATTAAACTTGCGCCATTCTTTTATGCGTCGTCGTCTGTGCTAAAAAATAAGAACAAGTTTGAAACAGTTTTTTAGAATATTTTATAAATTGCATTAATTTCAAGAATAAATTTCGCAAAACATACTTATTTTTAAAAAAATGTTACATGACCTTTTAACAACTGATTTTTAGAGCAGATGTTTTAAGGCAGAAATCTCTATTTTCAACGTGTAGTTTTGAAACGTTACCTTTTTGTAATTTTAAAAAATGCGGAGTGCTCGGGCATCGGCAGCAGCATCAGCTTTCGCCGACGTCGCTTGTGTGCCCGGGATTAATGCCCTGGCACCGTGATGTCGATCTTGGCGCCTCGAACGCGCGGAGAGGCGCAATCCGGAAGGGTCGTCATGTGGAGGGCTTCCTGCATCTCGCCATCGTACTTTACGTACGCATCGTCAAAAGCGGCGCTCCTCTCTGCAGAAGGAGCTGAGTCAAATTTTGTCACCACTATGTCAAAGTCCCTCGGACTAAATGACATCGGGTGGCGGCGTCAAGGATGCTCGCCAGCGCTCGCGCCGCATCTCCCACGCCGTGCACCGCGCCGGCCGCAGCCTCTGCACATCTCACTGTACTCCCCGCTCTGCAGCGCGAGCCGGCGGCAAGGCTGGCTCCGGGCAGGGGATCAGGGATTAAAATCAGGGATTTTAAACAACATGTAAACCAACCATTTAAACATCCTTTACGCTATCTGGAACTACTAGTGACAGTGTGTGGAGGTTGGAACCAACCATATCGCCTACGGCACGAGGTTTACATACACAGCCAAAAAAGGGCCGCGCAAGAACTCCACGCATGCTAATGGGGAGTGGGCGCCCTTCCTTCTCCCACTGCTGCCCCTGATTCCTCCCCGCCGGAACCGCTAGTACTCTCCGTGGCACTCTGGGGGCGGGAGCCACAATCTATCGCCGCCTGCGCCGAAGAAAGGGCGTCATTAAGCAGCGGAAAGGAAGAGTCGAGAGAAGTATCTCGAGGAATAGGAGGCGAAAGCATCCACCAGCTTTCCTGCTATTTTGCAGGGACCCTCCCCCTACCACCCACATCTCACCGGAGCTAGTTGACCTTTATGACGAGGTCACGGAGCTCCTGACTTCGGTGGGGGCGGATAGACCCCCGAAACATGGTCTTTGTGGTGAAGTCTCCGAAAACCCAGCAGGCGATATGGGACCCAGATAAGTCGCGGTGGATCCAGTCCTCTAAATGCTTGGTGGACGCGGAATCAGGCCTGAAAGGACCATCAAATTTACAGATCTGCACAATGTCGACAATCGGCCCTACTCCTTCAACTGCAGTAGTAGGCAATCCATCGTACGCTCCTGTACAGTGAGATTTTCAGAGCGTCCCTGCAGCCTCATTTGGTGGCAACCCGCGGAGCGCTCCGGCTGGGCGGGTTGCAATGCCCGTTCACCGGCAGGAGCCTACAGCGCTCGCGCCGCGCGGACCTCGAGGCCCTCCGGTCCAGCCGGAAACCAAAAGGGTCGAACGCGAGGGGTCAGTCCCGAAGGGGCATGGCGCGATACCGCCCATCCACGGAAGACTCGACACATAAATGCGACGGACAAACGACCAGTCCCTTCTTCTTGGTTAGATTGTCGGTGTGCTCAGTCGTAATCTATGAGCTTCTAGTGTTCAGGCACGAGAACACCATCTTTGCAATAGATTACAGTGGAATTTACGTAATGACAAAAGATATAATTTGCATAAAATCAGTTATCGCGATTTGTGCGTGAAATAGTGGAAAAGAGACGGAGCTGATATGAAAACTGTGACGCAAGTTGAGCTGGATTGAAAAGCAAAGTAGTTGAGGAACGCAAACAGTAAAGTTTCTTCAAATCGAAAGCGGCGGTACTGAGCAACCAGATTAGATCGTGTAATGCACAGTGTGTGCCGGAAGTGACGCCAAGAGCTATTAAACGCCGTAAGGTATTCTACGCGTGCGCGAATTGTGAGCACGTCGGCGTCCTTCGTGCGGAAGACGGGGCAGAAGAGCGAAGAAAAGGCTGCGAACGAGCGTTTGCCGGTGCCAGAAGAGGAAGCAGGAGAGAAGCAATTGGTTGTTGGAATTCCGAAACGGCGTTTCAGTACGCGGACCGCCAGGAAACAGTGTCTAGCGGAGCGCACTAGACGGAGACGGTAGCGCTCGGCCCTGTGCGGGGAGAAGGCCAACGCCGCGATCTATTGCCGGTGCTCGGGAAGGCACGGGCGAGCACGTGCAGAAAGGTAGAGGAACTGCATTTCAACAAGAAATCTCGAAGGTCGTTTCTAAGGATAGGCGTGTGACCGCTTGGAATTGCTCTGAGCAGCGGTCGCTCCAATAAAATTTGCATTTTAACTAAATTAGGCAGCGCCGAGGTATTCAGGGTGAAAACAGATTACTTAGTAGTACTTGATTAGTACTTACAGATTACGTAGTAGAACCGGACGGGGAGCTCACGAATAACAAGCCTTGTAAATTTTGCAGCACTACTTTTCAATTTGAGTTAGAAACCAACATGGAAATGTAAATAATCGTATTTAATTGTGTTCTGTTAAGCTAGTTATTTGTGTGGGGTAACCAAATCATTGTAATTAGGTCATGTATTTGAATTTGAATGTATAATTTAGTTAGAGAATTTGATTTTAAAGTGTTACGATTTCATATGTGATAAGAGCAAACGTTTGCGTTATTTCGCTCGACCAGTTTCAAACAGTGTACGGTACTATGTTATTACAGAGCTGAATACAATTTAAATGAGCCTTTTTCAGAGGAATTTCTGAATGTTTAAAAGGATATTGATGATGTTTTATGAGCTATAATTGTTGAGTAAGGTACGAAAATGAATAAATTGAAAAATTGAATAAATCAGATTGAGTAGCATTTCTTTTATGCCATATTCTTTTATCTTTGTACATTGTAATTTATTGGCACAACATAAGCAAAGTTTATTTAATTTACGTGGGTATCCCTTATCTCACCAGAAAGATCCTGTTACCCTGAGGTAAAATTAAGCTCGCAATGAATATCCTTCTGTCACCCCTTAGATGCCTGTTGGTGCTAATTATCTAAGTGGGAGTGTTAGATTACATACACTCCAAAATCCAATTACATCCACTGCAGATCATAACTACGAATGTACTCACAAAACTGGCAGCATTAAACACAATGTAACCTTTTTCAGGAGACTAGCTGTACCTGTTCTTCACCTCGCGGCATGGCGTCGATCGGCCATAACTCATGTCTCTCCGCGAGAGCCGAACGAGCAGGGGGTGCACGCCCTGTGCCCTTCCAGATGGGGAGCATTTCTGCTTCACAGCCAGCTATTATAGAGAAATTACTATAAAAAGGGACCGTTTGACAGCTAATGTTTCGCCTCTTTGAGAGATATAACTGCTGGTTACATCCATGCACTCGTTTTTGTCAGTGTGTTCATTTATAGGTAGCACATTTGTAAATGACTTCATCCCCATATCTTGCAATGGCATCGCCCTGCATGACGTTCGTTTCCCGCCCTGTCAAAAATGGTCCCTTCTTAGAATAGCTGCTTTCTAGCGCTGGGGTGCGCGAGTTTTGGCGTGACTTGCTTCGCCCGTGGGTTTGCAGGTGTGGGTGGAGAAGCTGGGGCGCAACGGCGACTTGGGCTGCTCGTTCTGCGAGGCGAGGCCGGTCGCGGTGCTGGTGCTGCGGCAGGAGGAGACTCTGCCGCCGTCGCTGTCGGTGCCGCCCGCACCGCCACCGCCACCGCCGCCGCCGCCGCCGCCCGCCTGCCTCCACCTGGGCGCTGTGGTGGCGGTCAGCGCCGCCGCGGCGCTCGTAGTCGTCGCAGTCGCGGTGCTCCTCTGCGTCGTGTAAGTAAATACGTCACTTTGAACCTTTCTCATGCTTCTAAAGGCAGGCAACTGCTCACTAGTGAACCTAGCGACGTGACCTGGAAAATCGGCGATTAATGGGCGTCTGATAAGACTCCGCACAGTTCTTATGGAAAACCGTCTTCCGTTAAATTGGCTGATTTTTTGATAACAATGTTTTCAGCAAGTCTATCAAAACTATCAATGGTCACTTGGTCCAAAACTCCATAGTTTTGGACTATTGCATTTTTATGTGTGAAAAAACTTCCGACAAGGGATAAACTACTATTTCTTAGCTATATCCGATCTTATTTTCCGTTTTTCACATGTTTTCGTTTTAGCTTCACAATAGTGTCAACACAACTCGAACTCCCTAATCTCCAACCAATTTCACGATGATAGAGGCCTGTCTCTTTGTATGCGCTAATTCATGCCTTCTCGCCCTCAGACAGGCGCTTTTCTCGGAACATTTTCAAAGTAAGTGTCACTGTCCTCGCACACCAGTGTCTTCTGCCTACACTCAAGTAAACATAGTTGCAAGAGCGCTCGCAGCGGTGCGCCTTTGTACCATTTTCCCGTTGATTGTGCTTTGTTTGCTCCTACTATATAATACTGCCACAACCCTAAACAATGAATGAGGTAAAACAATGTTCCTAATAGTATTTTCACAGAATTTGAGATGTGAAGTCATAGTAGCACAGATTTCGAGTAATAATTAAACATCATTTTTGTCGAAAATTTCATATGCCTTTATATTTCTTTCTTTCACTGTATGTACACTCATTATTGCATTATTTTCTATAAGAAATGGAAAAAACTAAAAATGTACATGATTGATCGAAAGAAATCGTTGAAAGAAATTAGTTTTTTGGCAAAATATAATAGACAGTTCATTTTTTTATTTAATGATTTCTCCTCAGCAATCATTTTAATATTTTAAACTGAGCTTACCTGTGAAAACACTATATAGCAATCCGTAAGTGATATTTTTAATCGATTAAAGCATTGTAACAGGCTAGGAGAAAAAGTGAAGAACCAATATTGTGGCTAGAAACCTTAAATCATAAGGTTCATTTCTGCAACTTTTGCAGGCAAATTTCGCAATGCCGGATTTCTTTTGACTTGCCCTATGTGAACGTATAATCTACATCTTATGTAAACTATATTCCCTTCCTTTACCTTTCTGCTTGCAATACAGAACCAGCTATATTCAACGTGATGCTCTTTGCGGTCTTGTGAACTAATTTTTTTTTATTACACCCTCTCCTTGCCTTATTGTTTATTAATAAATCCTATTTATTATTGGAGACACCTCAACAGTTCCGGGGTTTATTATGATATTTTAGTTATATATTTACATGAAGCTCTTGTGATAGTTTCAAATTTTTCGGGAAAATAGCTAAAATTGTTTTCAGATTTTTTTGTTTGACTAGAAGAATGCACTATGTATCGTAGAGATCCGATTTTTATTTTTATGGCATTTTCTTTTTTTTGATCTTTGCATTTAAAACACTAAGTATTTTCGTTGAGAAAGACGTTTTAGAATTACACTCAACCCAATTTCGTGATTTTTGCTTTAAATTAAAGGTTTTGGGTGCCGGATATTTTATCGCATACTAATATTAACCGGTGTTATTGTATAAGCGCCCTCGCGGTTTAGCTCATTGGTTATCGCGCTCGCTTTCCATGACGCGACCCCCTGGTTCGATTTCCGGTTGGGCAAGATTATAGTGTGCATTTTCCTTGCAATGTCCCAGTTTATGTTGCTGTTTGACGATGAGAAAACGCACATCTCAGAAGACCAGAATACGGCGTACGGATGTCTTCGTGATATCACACGTACTCTTAAACTCTTGGCCGCGAAGTTGGGTCACTGCTGGTTAGCACTGGCCTGTTCGCGGGTTGTCGTACCGAGTAGACTGACAGACAGAGAGAGAGAGAGAGACTGACTGACACACAGACACTGAAAGAGACAGAGACAGACACAAAGACAGACAGACAGATTATATAAGTACTAACGTTTAACAAAATATTGAAAATAATGGAATTTATGCTTACGTGCCGTCTTTTATTCATTATTTCATTGTGTGAGTTGTAATCTATCTTTTGAAAGCATTCTTTATTTCCTCTTCGAGAAAACATGTGAGAGTAAGCTTATAATTAGCGATGCGAAAATTATAAAAATTGAGTCCGAAGAGTGTTTTTAACTGCAAATATTAGTGAGAGTGGATGGACGCAATGTCCAGCAATTGCCTGACACGTATGTTCTTTAAAAAACAGTGTGTCCCTTCACAGTCAGTGATTGTAATTACATGTGGTAGGTTACGTTTTTAAGTTAAGATGGACAGTAGGATTTCTATGCCAACATTCCCTGTAGCATCTTATATAGAGCTGGGTATATTTAAAGTACATGTATGTAAATTATTTAATTACCTTTTCAGGAACGTATTCAACTCTGTGTTCAGCAAATAGTATAAGTAAACCTCACGCATTTCATTAGTCTTCGAAAATAAATTCTGAACGACAGAAAACAATATAATTTTTCTGCTAGGGAATATATAGTCCTTTGTAACTTTTCTACAACACTTTATTTAATTCAATATAATCACAAAGGTACTGCTAGATCAGTTTATTTTCAGATCAGTCCTTCACCTACAATATTAAAGCCAGATATTTCTTTCTCAATGTAATTTATTCCTCGATTGAATAAAGTTATGCAGACAGCGACTAACCAACAAGAAATGTGAACATTTATCAATGGCGCTCTCTAGACAGCTGAGCACCATTTCCTTAATTTTCACAATGCAACCCAGCGATGTTTGCGATGTGCTGATTTTTTAAGGGAGAAAAGCTGGACCACGTAGTACTATTCTTATGTTCATAAATTGCCGAAAGTGACCAAAGGGTAGGTATTATTTATTAAATTATGAAAAACTAAAGAGAATTGGATGAACTGGTACTTTATTTTCCGCGTGCATCCTTGCTCCTTTAAATTTCAAGATATGTTTCAACTTTCATAACTATGTTTCAAGCATAGCCATTCTTCTAGATCGCATAATTTCATTGAATTGTTTATCTGTAAATCGATCACTTTTTATTTTCACGCTTTACTACCTTTACATCTTTACAAATCGGCGATTATTTTGACAGAAAAACTCATATCGCCAGACCCTGGTTCGAAAAGGATAATACATGATATTATTCGTGCAACTTTTCTTGAACGATGGCCTTGATCCCCCTCCCTTGCGCAATAAACAGTAAGGCAAAAGCTCGCAACGGGCATTGATGACAACCTTCCAAGCATTAAAAGTTCGTTGGCGCGAAACAGAAGCTAGTCAAAGCCAATTGCTTTCATAATGCAGAACTCCTGTTCAGGTTTATTGTCAATATCGAAAGAAAGGCTTAGTCAGGTCCAGGTCCTTCAAGGGAGTCACCTAAAACTCCCGCAAAAGTTAAGCACAAGATGCAGTTTTGACTTTCATTTCACAGACGTTGGCATTACTTAAAATACACTAGTGTCCGACTTTGTAACTAATACTCCCACTCCACCCGAAATCGTCAATCCATCGTTCAAGAAAAGTTGCCCGAGTAATACATCTTCTTCCCGTACAGTAGTAAATTACTTTTTCTAACTCGTGTAGTCAGAATCCACGTCTTGTGGGCCTTTGATATCGAAAAACCGATACGAGGCAAAATGTCGTCTGCCCGTCCGTGTGCCCGTTTGCGGTCAACGCTAGCACCGCAACCTTTGAGATGATTTTGTCCAGCATTCATATTCCTCAGTCGATCTCGACGAACACTAAGCTTCAAACTGATATTTTGAATTTGAGCTACATTTTACCTCAAACCTCAACATCTAAAAAAATTCCAAATAAAGCTCCATATTTTTTATTAAACTTTTTTGTGGGATAGTGTAAAGAACGCTGAAAAATGTAGCATATCTAATTTTCGTTGAAATCTTTCATGTTTCGAAAACTGCAAAATTCAAAATTTGTTCGGCCTCTTTATAATGAATTGCTGATGATATTTCAATGCATTGTAAAATAAAAATATTTTCGGTTACAAACAACGAAAAACGCAAATTTGTGAATTGATGGAATTGGAGAGCACACGGAACTGCACTAATACCGCCCTGTAACGCGCGCAGGCTGAGGATCGCGCGTCACCTGTCAGTCGAATTGAATTGCAATCGCTGTTAAAATACACTATTGCAACTGTATATATAACCCAATAAAATATTATTATTATAGTAAAAAAGATGCAAATTACCTCCCGAATCGAGTCTTTGAAATACACACGAAGTCCCGGTGACATATTGTAACACCTCTCGGCGTAGGGAAACGCGCGGTTAGCGGCCCGGTTCTAGCTCAGTCGGTCCTATCTCTTTCTCTGTAAAAACTAGCCATTGTAACAACCTTTACTCGGTGAAACTAGCCAATTGTAAAATTTCCTGAAACTTAGATTAGTGATGGAAGGCATTGTAGCTAAAGCATGCATGGGCATTTCAAAATAAACAATTTTGATTACTGGTAAAAGGACAACGTTTATTCCTAGACAGCTGTACCAGGGAAGTTAATAAAAAATAAAAAGAAAGAAAAGATTGAATAAGAAAAATAAGATTAAAATTAAAAGGAAAGCTTACACTAGAGAAGAGTAACAAATTATTTTATAGTTTAGATTTTACAGAGTTGTCCGCTGAGGACCTTTCTTGTGGCCTTGGCGCGGCACCGCTTTGGACAATACTGCAAAAAAGGTTTATTGCCCCCAGTTACAATGCCTGAGAGGCCCTTCGTGGCGCAGATGTTCTGTAGGCCGGGTGGCCGCGGTTGGCGACCTTTCGGGCAGGAATTCCGTTCGAAGAACGCAGCGCCCTTCCGCCAGCAGGGTGGGCAGGCAGCTCGTGGAGTCCGTGACGTCAGCGATGGGTGTACTAGAGGCTTCTTCGGCAAATTCGTAGATAACTGGCGATCTTGCCGCGCGACCTCGAGGTGCGGAGCACACAACAATGTCTGCCCTCTGCGTATGCGATTCTCTCGACTATAAATTTCAAGTAAATTGGCGAAATCCTTGCAGCAAAATACGCAGTGACAAAGTGATTCGACAATTTAGCTTTTGAAATGCTTTTGCACTTCTTCTAAAATTCTACTGGAGAATTCCCGGTCCTATCGACCCCAAGTGACTTTTCACTGAAACAAAATTTTAACAAAGTGCGCTTCGGAGGCGCACTCGCCTCTCCCCGCGGCTGCTCCCACCTCCAGAGAAGTCTCTCTCTCAAAATGTATTTTATTTCTCCTAAACGCACGAAGTTAACTTTTATCCCACCCTTTCTCCTCATATGTTCTTGCTCCCCACAACGGTCGCGTCGCTATTGGCGAAAGGTGATGGCGTTGTACACTAAATTTGGCCAATAGGGGCTCCGGCGGAGTATAGGATTTTTCATTCGTCCTGTTCGAAAATAGGCCACGTCTCTGAAGGGGCTTGCCCGGCTACTGAATTATTGCTTCGGGTTTTCCCGATCACGATGACGGCGTTTCGGAAGTATTCCAGATGTGGGCTCCCCGCTGGGCGCTTTCACAGTTTACCCCTTTGTTCGCTTGTTGGGTGGGGTGTCATAAACATTCGAAATGGGTCAGGGGACCGTGGCTGTTGCAAGAAGGGGGAATGCGCGCGTGACGCCGTATGTTTTTCTTCAGTAAAAAATTTATTAGGTCTGCTTTACTCAGTTTAATTTATCTCAATAATTCTGTACCGCTACAATATAGGTGCGACAAAATTCGAAAGTTACAGGAAATACTTTCTATAAGAGTCTATACTTCTGTGACCAAAAAGACACGTGAATTATTTTGTTGCTAATATTATGAGTAACGCGGTGTATTTTTAAAACTGAAATGACTTGTCTTTTATTAGTAAGAGAAGGCAATTGTTTATAGCACTTTTTTAAAATTCCCGCTTGTTTCCAATATCTTAACTACCTTGCACATTTAATCAAAGAGTTCAGGTTCTTCCTTTTTTGATCCTCACCCGGTGTAATGAAATGGTATTTGTAAAATTTCTTATTTCAAGCTCCTAAATGTTCGCGACCAAGCTTCTTAAACTTTCTAGTCTTTCTAATGGAATGTTTTTTTCTGTCAATTCATAGAATAATGCGCCGTGTTGCATTACGACAGAGGCTGCAAAAATCCTCGTCAGCTGAGAAAACAAACAGACAATATTCAAGCCGACGAACTCCTGAGTGGACTGGACAGGTACGTTTATAACTAAGAAGTGATTAATGCGAAATGTTGAAAAGATGGTCTTTTTTATATTTCCCATTAAACGTGATTTTTTATAGGACTGGAGCTTTTTCATAACTAGGATACATTTTATGCACATTATTATTCTATTAAAAAAGATGCAAATTACCTCCCGAATCGAGTCTTTGAAATACACAGGAAGTCCCGGTGACATATAGGTGCGACAAAATTTTTATGCACAGGAATATTTCAAGATATTTTCAAAACCGCTCAGATTAATCTGGCCTTCAAAAAGGACCACAAAAATGAAATTCAAAATTATCGGCCAGTGTCGCTCACAATCGATACTAAGTTTATGTGCAAAGTATAATCTTATCTGTTGCATAACTGTTTCTAAACAATTATAGGCTACACCGACCAACAAAAAAATATTTATTTTAGCCATGATATATAATGCATTACACTACATTTGTATTGTATAATTTTCAAAAGACTTAATATGCGTATTACAAATGATGTACTTCAGCTTCTGTATTAATGACTTCCATCTCCATCAGGTATTCGCCCAGTTGCCCTGATCAATTGAGCAAACGCTGAGATAGCCCCTTGTTTAGCTTCTGGCCATAAATGTACCTTCACTAAGGGCACGTTTTGTTGAACTTACCTTTTGCTTGTCCTTATAGGAATAGAGCTAGGGGTGTGGTTTACTATTTTGTTAGCAGTTGTTAACTTTCTAAAAAGAAAAATTGGCAATATTGATTCTGATCAAAAATTTCGAAAGGAAATCTGTGTAATATTTAATCAACAATTATATTCCCATACAAATTCAGTTCATTTATGTACAGTAAATGTAGTTATAATAAAAGGAATATTAGCCTGAAAGGTTCGTGATGTTTATTGCTTTTGTATTTCTGCAACTCCATGGCACTCCTTATTGCATGTTCCTTCTAGCTCGTCAGCCCACCGCAAGCGCAGAACGCGCGAACTGAGGGCGCTCGAGCGAGCGCCGAAATGGAATAAACTCCTTCCACCACACTCCGTGCACTGTAAAGGCCCATTAACAATGCAAACGCCAACACATGCATAACGCATAGACGTAAATATTAACATAAGTTATAGACTGAAGTATTCACAATGTCTTACATAAACGTAAGTAAAATAACACCTTCTATTGGCTGTAAGACATTCTAGTTTACTATTGATTGGATGTGAGAATCGATTTCGAGATATCGACTGTGTCCATAGTTCATGGTTCGTGGCGTTAGTTCGTCTATCGAATTCGAGCCTATTGCGATAATCGATTTTGAGTTAACGTACTGTGATTTATTCATTTCTTATTTAAACATAAGCACAGAAGCTTGTAAAATGTAAGTTAACGTCTTAGGTGTTACGCTTTCGCGAACGCATTGAGAATGAGTCCGCTTATGGTCGTAGCCCTAACTTTTCTGTTAAAGCCATGCTTGTGTTCGCATTGCGGATGGGCCTTAACTGTCTAATGTTGCCCCCAGGTCCGGGCCCCGCCAGTTCCTCGCCGCCCGCTCGCGGAGCCGACGGCTGCGCCGCCGCCACGGCCGCCCAAGGCGCCGTCGGCGCCGCCCCCGTCTCCGCCCCCGTCGCCGGCGCGAGGGCCCCTGGTCGTGGTGCCCCCGCCGCCCGCCACGCCGCGCTTCCAGCTGCCCGGCGCGCGGCCCCTCCCGCCGCTGCCCGCGCGCGACCACTGCCCACCCTACCACCTCTAGACAGCACGAGGGTAACCCCAATTCCTCTGATATCAATGGCTTACGGACGGCATTCGTTGCCTCTGCAGGATCGTCCAACTCGAAGTTTTAAGGTTCGAGCCCCCTACAATGGAGGATTTTGGATCACCTAGCTGGCTCGATTACAACCACTGTTTGGAGAAAAATTCTAGAGGCCGGCATCGGTAGTTTTCCGTGGTTTCTCCTAACAGTATCAGGCAAATGCCGGAATGTCATAAAACAGGCCAGAGACCGCCAACGATATTTCCTTTCTCGTCCTTTCCCCCTCTTCTCTTACGCACACGCGCGTGCAGTTAGATGCGCTGAACTACCAAAATGTCACGAGATCAGTGGGGAGCTCAGAGCTTATTCACAATATACACTGGGCCTCCGTAGGGGAGATAATCTGAAAAGAAAATCCCAGCAAGCAGACGTGCAGGTCAGCGCTGGATCTCACGTCCGAGTGGGAAGGAACACCGCCACATCACACGACTACATGCACTACATTTAAAGGACTAATGACAATAGCAGTTGTCACGCACGCAAACAAGAAATACTCATATCGATGGGCTCCAACTAGAACTAACTAATGATGCTTCAAAAAGCGTATAGTTTTTCGCATTATTTGTAACGGCACCGCGGAATATAATACTGTATGAACCTCAAAGAGCTTTTACAACCAGCAAAACTTTTTTCCGCTCTGCAATTTGAACTCAGATCTTTAAGAGTTCCCATGTCGTTCATATTACCCCTATACCACCAGCCTCACAGCAAAACGCAACCATCACCACCCTTTAACAAAATTTATTAATAATAATATAATTATAATAATTATTTGTTGCAAAATTTCCTCTCGTACAAATTTAAGTGAATTCAATGACAAGTAATCGACATCGATTCCACGAAAAGGAGTCAGTGAGTAGCCACGAAATATTTACAGGCTCTTCTTCAGAATTTGTCGCAATGTCCTATTTCAAAGTTTAATAAACATTAATACAACACAAATACGAAAAATAAATAATTTAAATAATATGATACATGCACCATGAACATTATTTTTCACCTGTGGCTAAGAGAGGTTCCTATTATATTCCGCCAGAGACAAACAACGGTGAGTTAGAACAGTGTTCGATTCCCACAACAGATGACACAGGCACAGAAACAGAGACATTGAGAGAGACACAAAGACATACTCAGGGAGAGACAGAGAGACACAAAGTCAACTGCAGAGTAAGATAGACAATGATTGGGACAAAGATAGACAGATGCAGAAAGCCAGAGACAGGCCGAGAGCCTGCGTCAGGCGGAGACTGTGACACGAACAGAGTTGCAGACGGAGAGAGATAGAGACAGACGGACGGACGGACACAGTCGCAGAGATAGACGGACGGTCCGAGGGACGGACACCGTCGCAGAGACTGACGGACGGACCGAGAGACGGACACAGTCGCAGAGACAGACGGACGGACCGAGAGACGCACACAGTCGCAGAAACAGACGGACGGAGCGACAGACGGACACAGTCGCAGAGACTAACTGACGGACACCGTCGCAGAGACTAACGGACGGACACCGTCGCAGAGACAGACGGAGAGACGGAATGACGGGCCGAAAAACGGACACAGTTGCAGAGACAGACAGAGAGACGGAGAGAAAGAGGGAGATGGTGTGTAGAACAAAGTCTTCCGGTTTCCTCTAGCCATGTAAATACAAAGCAATAGTCATGTGGGAAATGGTAACGGCGAGTCTGAGTAATGCCTGTTTCTGAGATTGACCGCCATAAACTGCAAAAGTCCATATAAGCAACAAATATTTAATACTATAAATGAAAGTGATTTATCG